CCTATATAGAGATTGGGGTCATTGAGATGCTACATCCAGTGAAATATACCATGTAATTTTTAACCATTAATGTGGTGATTGGTGAAATAACTTTCCAGTAAACACATATACATATGGATGTGTGATTATGTGCAGATCAACGGTTAATAATCACCCGATGCATTTCATGAGGTGTAGTATGAAATAAACCGAGGATCGGAGACGCGTTTTCAGGGAGCTTGATTACCGTTCTCTTATGCAATGCAATACTTTCAGTTTATAATTTAGTCGCCTTTTCAAGAACACACTCCTAATCATAACCGTTGAGAATTAAGTCAACGGAATCCTAGAGGTTTTCTTTTTCTTTTTTGCTCTTTCAACTTTTGCCTCTCTTGATCAAATAAGATATATTACTAAGTTAGCATAATTATAAAAGAAAAAAAAAAAAGAAAAGAAAAAAAAGAAAAAAGGAACCCAATCTTTTCATTTATATTGGATTCTTCAACTTTTGGAGGCCTAGTTAATTTAGTAGTTGGGATTATGTTTGATTTACAATATAATTAAACTTTGATCAAATGTTTGAACTTTAAGTCTCAAAACTATGATGGTAATTTAAGCCCGATCAGTCGAGAACTCACTTCGGCCGCCTGCCTGCACGGCCCGATTTTTAATAGGGCTGGTAAGGTTTTTGAATTTTGTATATGTAGGTTGTAGCTGATGCAGAGGTGGCGAATGTGGAATTGTGTGGGGCCAAGTTTTTTCGAACCGGAACGACGAGGGGAGCTAAACACACAACTCTGTGATGTGCGATGAATTTTGGCGTTTCGAGGTCGTTTAGGCCTTCAAAACGACGTTTTTGCTATTTTAGGAAAATTTTAAATAATTTATAATTAATTCTAGAAAATCCGGATTTGAAATCCGCAAGTTGGGATGTTTCCAATTTTCAATATTCTACTAGGTTTAGGAGTTATTTCGTTTTTGCCTTTTTTCGGTAATTTTCTCGTTTTCCTAGTTTGATTAGGGGTTTTTCGTTTTCTTTAGTATGAATAGTTGCTCTAGGGTTTATTTTTCATCATCTTTAATTATCAATATATTTTTTGAATTTTCTCTCAATTATCTGGTAGATTTCAGAGTTATCGTGTCCTATAGGATTAATTCGTAGAAATTAATTCGTTTTTGTGCTTCAGTTCTGCGTCAGTAGCAGCTACGAATTTCGGAAAACATGCTGCCCATCCAAACCTCATATATTTGTATATTTACTTTTACCAATTTTTATACACTATTTATATTATTGAAATACTAATTTTTAGATTTAAAAAAAAATTAAAATATAGTTTTAACGGAATTTTTAGATCTAAACGACAGTTTTCTTATTGATAAAAATAAAATAAAAATCATGATAGTTTTTCCTCTAATTAATTTGATATGTTTGTTTTGACCACAGACAAAAATGATTGAGAGTCCAATCGATGCCTTGATATGATTATAACAAAATAAAACATGAATACAAATTGATGATGATGATGATTTAGATTCGTATCGTCGAAATACTTAAAGGACCTTAATTGATGATGATTTATTGATACATGATATTCACTTTCTCTATATCTTTTTCACTTTGCAAACGCATTTATATAGACCTTGTGATCACGACAACGATAATGGAAATATTAAATAAAAGTAGTAACAACAGAACAATGTAATTACTATCACTAACCCAATTCTTAGTCGATGACCCGTGTCATGAATAGCGATATATATATCTTGCTCGTTTGAGCATTTAGTGTATGTAGACATTGAGTTTCATCAACGTTTGCGTAGAGACAATAGCATACTTGAGCAGGGCGCATATTCAACGAGTTTCAATGACCAAGTCTCAGGACTTGTCGCCGATTCCTAAGGAGTGATGCAGGTGCCAAGGAGAATCCCTAACAGGAGTGTGTATTGATGTTAGGGATTAACTTGCTCTTTTCAGACGAGGACATACAATATTTTCTACACGTATGTAGTCTACTATTGGATTCGAATCAATTTACATATGTTTCTAATTCGATGGAGATATGTGAGTTGAAGGAAATGTACTTAAGTTAAATATAGAATTAGAAGGTTCTTATAGGCATTACATTATCTAATATAAATTGATAATTTGAAGGGAGTCAAGTGTGCTGCAAATGCAATATATCAGACCAAAAATTATGTAAGAAAGAGAAAAAAAAAAAAAAAAAAAAGATTGAGACAATCCGAAGACAAAATTTAGGCAAATCAGTTGAGTTGCATTTATTAACAAAAGCAGGTATAAAACTAACTAATCATTCAATGATGTAAATCGCGAGTTTCAAGGAGGTCAATTCTCAGGCCCATTATATATCATAGGGTGCCCCATCAATCAAACATATGGACCCCCACCCACAAATAAATTAAATAAAATATATATATAAATAAATAAACAAAATAAATAAATAAATAAATAAAGAAGAAAGAAGAAGGTGCAGAGTATAAACAAAGAAAGAGTGAGGGTAGTAGATGGGTAAATCTTGAATGGATTTTGAAATGTTTGAATTTTGTTTTGAGCATTTATTTTACTCATTCTAAAAGCTCAATGTCTTTTCATTTTTAACAATTGTTTCTTTTTAATGCGTCAAATAAAGTTAGTTTAGTTTAAGAGGCAATTATAATTTAAACCTTTAATCAACTAACTATATCACATTATCTTTGTCTATTTGGAGGAGTATCACTTTTGGTTCAAACGATAATTTTGAGCTCTCTAGCTTGTTCGAGTTTTATATGGGTTGTCAACGCGATTATTTCAGAGATTAACATTTTATTTAAAATTACAATAAGTGGACTGTGTTTTAAAACACAACTTTTAACATGTTCGCTCGAACATTATTGTTTGTAGTTCAAGGCATTACATTTTATAATGTGCTAACAATTGTGTTATATGCTGCCGCCTGGATTATCTTGTTGGTGGATCTAGAGTGCGGATTCAAGTGGCGTGACTTTAAATTATTTTGTCAATGTTTTCTAAATCGAGTTTGTCACTATGATTTTTATGTCCGGTGTTGTTTAATTTGCATCTCTCTTTGATTTGGGCGTGCTAAATCCCACACTAAAATTTACTAAATTCCTCAGATAAATCAAAAAAAATTCTCTCTCTGCTTATATTGTTTCTAACTTCTCTCTTCAAATTTTATCAAAGTCACCCAAAATTCATTAATTTTTCACGTGAATAATCATAAAAAATGAGTTCAATTTTATTAATATTTATTCAATTTCATTAAACTTTTTTAATTATTCAAATTTATATCAATTCGATTTATTTTTTCTCAAATTCCAACTTTATTTTAGTTTGGACACGTGAAGATTTTTCTCAAATTCGAACTTGGAATGCTAGAGACTTTATTAGTATGTAATTTTGTGAAAAGGTTAGAGAAAAAGAAGAAACATACAAAAGAAGAAGAGAAGATTCTAGAGAGATAAAGTATTTTCATTTGTGTCCAGGATTTGGTAAAATTAGTGTGATATTTTAGCATTTCAGTTTTGATTTTGAAGTTTAATGAGTTCGAGCTCGAGCTCGAGCCGACCAAAACAGCAGAGCTCGGCTCGTTCACACCTCTAATCGAAGTAATATATCCAATGCATTATCTCATTAGAATTTCTAACTATGTTTTAGGGGTGATTATAATCATCTATACCACAGAAAACTTTAAAGTTATTTAAGCAAACATGTGGGATTTTGATGTAATTTACCCTAAATTTATCCCCTAAACGTATAATAATTTATGAATATGATAACTCAGAAGGAATAATATAGCAACCTGATTTTCTCATTATTCCGCGCAACAGCGGTCACTGTACCCAACGGACAGTACAACACAGAGCCGTCGATAGTCAAATCGACGGTTGTGATTCCGAGGGGGCACAGTGTCGGTGAATAAGGCGGCATATTGCTGCACTATACAGAGTGGCGGTTAGCTTTATCGTACCTGCAGGGCCCACAGGATAATGCGGTCCCCTTGTAAACTCTAATTCTGCCACGTCATCGATTTTCTTTTCTTTATCTGATGGGCTTTGCATTTTGTGAGTATTTATTCATGGGCTTAAATCAGTCCAATTTTGCATGGGCCGAATCTACTCATAGAACTCACATTTCAATATTTTTATGTTTTTGAAGAGTTTATAAGGGGAAAAAAAAATATTATTTTCGAACTTTTTACACCAATTTCAAATAAAAAATGTACATTCGAAGGTATTTTTGTTAAATGAACGAACAAGAGATTTCTATCGAAACCGAAAAATGTCGGGTTGTTATTGCTAATGAAATTACATTTGAGGCCCTTTTCTAAAATTTGAGGGATTTATATTTTAATTATATAATTTATGTATAAACTTATTTAACTAATAAGTTAAATAAGACTTTTTAGTATTGGCGCGTTTTTTGACTTCCAAGTGGACCAAATACATTAAAGTATTAAAGTTGGTATTTCAATCTAGAACAAAACAAAGAATACCTATATCTAATTTGATCTAATATAACAACTATTATTAAAGTATGAATGTTTTTCTTGACTTATAATTGGACTAAAAGCTCAACATATTTTATTTTATTTTGAATTTTTTAAAATATAAATTGGTCTACAATTGAATCCAAACTGCATAGAACTCTTAACTAATACTATCATTCACATCCTCAATACCCTCAAATTTAATTGAAACAACTACCAATAAACAAAAATATAATTTATTATTTTTATAAATGATAAAAAATAAAAATAAAATGTAATCAAAATAGGTGTTGGGTAGATGGGCATTTTTTTTTTCTCAAATGAATGAGTCATAACTGAAAGTCATGGCTATACAACTATGATTGTAGGTCAAATTAAGTACACATAGTATATTTATATAGATATATTTATATATATATATATATATATATATATATATATATATATATATATATATATATATAGACACACACACACACATGTTCACAATCTATACACATAACCTTCTCCTACTAGCTAAATTTTAATGGATTCCACTAGTAGTAGTGTTGCTCTTTGCTTCGCCATTATTTTAGCAGCAACGACGAATTGTACCGCCGCCTACGACGGAGAATTGAAGGCATTGGTTGCGAGCGGTTGGTGGCCAAAAAATAACGCGTCCGACGATTATTGCAAGTGGAATGGCATAACTTGTGACGATGCGGGCCATGTTGCGGAGATATACATGCATGGATATTACGGCGATCATACGCTTGAGGAGTTGGATCTACTTGCTCTTCGACAAATTGCTAGACTCGATCTCGGGGGATTGAGGTTCTTTGGCGGCATCCCCCCACAAATTGGTGCTCTATCCAAACTAACTTATCTCAATTTGTCCTGTAATCGTCTCACAGGCGATTTGCCTCTTTCACTGGCGAATCTCAACAAATTAGAGTCGCTCGACATTTCTCGTAACCATATCGTTGGTGCCATCCCACCTGGAATCGGAAATCTTACGAGCTTGGTTACTCTTGATTTGAGCCGCAATTACAATCTCCAAGGTAATCTGCCTCTTTCACTAGCAAATCTCACCAAATTAGAGTCGCTCGACATTTCTAATAACCGTATCGGTGGTGCCATTCCACCCGAAATAGGAGATCTTACGAGCTTGGTTTCTCTTGATTTGAGCAACAACTTTTTTATCAACGGCTCTTTGCCTTTTACATTGGGCCGATTAACGAGATTGAAATCTTTACAGTTAAGCGGTAACAATTTGGAAGGTAATTTTCCAATCTCACTCACAAATCTCACCAAATTAGAGACGCTCGACATTTCTCATAACTCCATCCGCGGTGCCATCCCAGCGTCAATAGGAGATCTTACGAGCTTGGTTTCTCTTGATTTGAGCAATAACCAACTTGAAGGTATTCTGCCTCTTTCACTCTCAAATCTCACTCAACTAGAGTCGATCGACGTTTCGTATAACTATATTAATGGCTCTTTGCCTCTTACCATGGTCGGGCTAGCAAGATTGAGATCTTTTCAGTTGAGCAATAACCGTCTCGACGGTTTTTTTGGCGCGAGGATTGTGGAGCTTCCTTCAATCGAGACGATCGACGTAAGTAGAAACTCCATTTATGAACAAATACCCGTTGGGTTCGGATATCGTGTTAGTAAGTATATATCGATTGTCGACCTTTCCTACAACAATCTATACGGTGGAGTCCCGGAATCTATTTCTTTTCTATATGGAATAAATGTATCATATAATAATTTACAAGGTCCAATTCCATACAGAGTTTGGGAGAGGTGATACGCGTAAAACCTACGTATGAAAAACCGCAAGTGTACAGTATCGCGTTTTGTAGAATAGTGAATTCCAGATATCGATCCACAGGGAATTAAGTTCCTAAATCTACCAAGTACCGTAATTATACTATCCTAAACTTTATCTAGACGGGAGAAAAAGATGGGAGATGACATGAAGCCAAAAGGAAACAAAAATAATAAAAACAACGGTCCGCCAGTATACGCGAGGAATTCCGACGTGTGATGGCTTCTAGGGAAAAATCCACCAGTGTACTATCGATAAAGATCTACAGATCCGAATCTATTGTCAATTCTATGTTCGCTAACCCAGACACTAAAATACCCTAACCCCCGTCTCCAGTGTAGTTAGAGTCTACCCACAGGTCCGACGTCTCCGTTCAGAACCTGATATTAAGAGAGCATTTAGGTCAAGTCCTTAAGGGCTACCCGAGGTGCATCACGTCTCCGTTTCCACAACCCGAGCTATGCTTTCCTAAAATCAAACGAGAAATCCTCTCTCGAGTTCATTCCCATTTAGAATCAATTCAACTGTTGGCCAAACAATCGAAAGCATTTAATACATGAAAACATAAACAGAATCAAAGAACGACAAATAGATCACAGATCTGGAAATCAAAATCAATATATACAAGGTTTCATTTCCCCTAAAAGAAAATGCTCAGTTCATTACAAACATAGCATCAAAATGAAGAACACGAGAAATCATAAACTAAACGTAAAGAAAAAGCTTATGAAAAACCCGAGTCGAAACCCTCGTCGAAGCTTCCCGCGAAGAACTGGCGAGAACCGAAGAGAAAACCGAAGACAAGGCCGAGATATAATCGAGATATTATCGAGATATCGAAAAATTAAAAGGAGACCTTCTATTTATAGTGAAAAATCAAAGAAAAATATCTAGTCTCGATTTCTGTGCCCAGATCGCGATCTGGGCTTCTTGGATCGCGATCTGGCAACCTTGAAAACTGTGAACCGCCTTCCCAGATCGCGATCCAGGAAGTGCGGATCGCGATCTGCCCCAACTTTTCGCTGCTACTGGAATTTGCCACCAGATCGCGATCCGGTGATTCTGGATCGCGATCTGGCCTCTGCATAAACTTCAAACACTTTTTTCACCCTTTTTCAGCCCGAATTCGACAATTGTGCATTTCACAAAAGTTGTAGCCCTTGAAGTTATCTTTCTAAATCCACTTGAATCAGCCCAATCGGAGGTCGTATGCAAAAGTTATGCTTGAAATACCAAACACTGCCACAATCCGCGAGAATGCACTTTTGCACGTGTTTGGTTTGATTCTCGGCTTTGCTTCCAAAATCGTCTCGAATCGGCAAAAATAGCTTATCTTTACCTAAAAATATAAATAAAACAAAAACAACATAATATATACAAATAAAGCCGAAAACTCGGACGAATGAAGACCAAAACACGAAGATTAGATAAGTAAAAGTTGTGCAAAACGAACACTTATCAAGAGGTTAGGAGAAAACAATTTTCTTGGTAACCACCAATTAGTTATCCCTCATTATTCCACAATCCCTATTGATCATTATTCCACAACCCCCAGATATCATTCCTACAAAAAAGTTTTACTTCCACTTGCTATATTCTTCATCTGCTTATTTTTTTCCGGATTATTCCGATTCATTTACCACGTTAAGGGAAAGAAGACAACCCCAGTGAAGCCCGATCTGAATCACGGAGACATTTTCAAAATATGGAATTATGACGGTAAGATCGCATACGAAGACATCATCGAAGCAACACAAGATTTCGACTTTACACACTGCATCGGAACCGGAGGCTACGGCAGTGTCTACAGAGCACAATTACCAACGGGAAAAGTCGTTGCGGTAAAAAAGCTCCACAGATTCGAAGGTGAGAATCCAACTTTCGACGCGTGTTTTAAGAATGAGGCCAAAGTTCTGTCCGAAATACGACACCGGAACATAGTGAAGCTTTTCGGGTTTTGCCTACACAAGCGCTGCATGTTTCTCATCTACGAGTACATGGAAATGGGCAGCCTATTTTACGTCTTGAGGGACTCAAACGAAGCAGTGGATTTAAATTGGGCAAAGAGAGTAAATATCGTGGAGGGAATTGCACGCGCTCTTTCTTACATGCATCACCATTGTAGCCCACCAATTTTGCATAGGGACATCTCCACAAGCAACGTACTTCTCAATTCGAAGCTCGAAGCTTTTGTGTCTGATTTCGGCACCGCTAGGTTGTTGGATCCCGATTCTTCCAATCATACTCTAATTGCGGGCACTCACGGCTACATTGCACCTGGTCTACAAATATATATACCTAAGAAAATTAATTTATTTATTTCTATTCGGAATTTGAAAAATTTAATCTTTTGATTTTTTTTTTCTTTTTCATTTTGGTAGAATTGGCATATACCATGGCTGTTACGGAAAAATGCGATGTCTACAGCTTCGGAGTGGTGGCGCTGGAAACCATGTTTGGAAGTCATCCGGGGGAATTTCTTACATCCGTGTTCGTGTCCGAAAGAAATTCCGAAAACTTAATGCTCCAAGACTTGTTGGATAAGAGGCTACCGTCTCCCGATGACGAAGATCTAAAAGCGGCAAGAGATGTGGTTCGTGTAGTGAGAATAGCACTAACATGTGTTAGTTCAGACCCAAAGTCTCGACCGTCGATGAGTCGAGTTTGTGACGAACTTGATGTTCGCGGACCACCACTTCCAATGCCTTTACGCAGCGTATCTATCTCGCACCTCATGCATATGTAATGAGTTATTAGTAAGTGTCAAGAAGTTATTTATGTTCCTAAGAAGTTCTGTATTAGCAAACTTAATCCGATCTTGTTCTTGTACAATTGTTCCCAATTTACATCTTCAAACAAATTGTGAAAATTAATAGCAGGCGCTAATTTATAACCCATAGACAATATTTATATACTCAAAACCAGAAAAAAAAAAAAAAAAAAAAAACACTACAAAATATTGATGAAAACTAAGCGACAACGAGCATAGAGCTTATTGCATTTACTACCTCTATGAAAATCGCAATTGTTCGATTCCCCCGACATTAAAATGTTTAGCAAATACCTATTGTGCTTACTAGTCAAAAGCGAAAACGCCCGTTGGAGCAAATGGTACACCTCACTCGCGAGTTTGAATTTTTTTCATTTTTGTGTCAGAATTGCCCCCAAAAGTCCACACCATCATCTCTTCTCTCTCATATCTTCTTCATCTTGTTCGACTGCTTGTTTTTCTTTTTTTCTTTTTTAATAATTTAAGATGACTAGTAACTCTTTTGTAGACGTTGAGTCTAAAATAATAAATATATTATTTATTTAATTATTAACTTAATCGGTCGGGTCTTATTTGGATTTTAAGCTACAATAAAATTGGGTCGAACAATCGGATTTCAAATAGATCTAACTTAATTGCCAGTCCTAGGTATTGCTAATGCCCATATAAGGCCGTGTTAGTTAATTGTCCTTTCTAGAAAAATCGAAAATTTATATTTCAATAATAAATTGATATTTAAAAATATATAACTACATAGTCTACATTTAGAAACAAGATACGAGGCTGGAGCTATATGTTGGTGTAAAATAACATTCTGCATAAATAATTGATTAAGAATTGCACTTAGTTGAAAGTAGAAATTAACTACAGAGAACGGCAAAATCGGCTGAGGTATACAAAAGCAATGTCATTGAGACAATATTTTCAGGTTGTCTACGATGCAACAGTCACTCTAGGCAGTCTCCGAAGATATCGCAATCGGATACTCTATATTTTCACAAATTCGAAGCCCACGGTGAACTCAAAACGTAGGAGTAAAATTTCGACACAAAAGTTTCAGGAATAAATTCTTAAATGTCTTATTAAATCGTATGCAAAGCTGGCCAACTTTTGTGGGATACTTATTCATAAAGAAGTCCAGACAAAAAACTTTTTTACAAAAAAATCCAGACATTATCTAGGGGTGTGTAAATGACTAAAATACCATCACATTTTAATATTCTTCAATTTCATCATTTAATTCAATTGTATGTCGCTTTGGGATCCCACGTTCCATTATTTCGGATAATGGAACCCAATTTTGCGGCGACAAAGTGAAGAATTGGTGCCTCGGCTTGGACATCAAACAGTTCTTCACATCCGTAGCCAATCCACAAGCTAACGTCCAGACGGAGGTCACGAATCGCACCATACTCCAACACCTTAAAACAAGGCTTGGAAGTGCCAAAGGGAAGTGGGTGGAAGAATTGGCTAGCGCCCTATGGGCTTATCGCACAACCCCACGAGCAGCAACGAGAGAGTCGTCTTTTAATCCGGCGTTCGGCACAGAGGCTATCGCACCCGTTGAAATTGGCGAACCATCTTGGAGAATCACCAATTATGATCCGGCAGCTAACGAAGAAGCTATGCGGGGAAGCCTGGACCTCGTAGATGAGCTACGAGAGGTCGCATGCATCCGGCAACAGATGTATAAAACGCGCATGGCCAAGGCCTATAATTCAAGGGTCCACCCTCGATCCTTCCAAGTGGGAGATTTAGTTCTCCGAAAAGCTGAAGCCTCGCGTCCCATTGGCAAGCTCGACCCAAAGTGGGAAGGACCATATAAAATCACACAAGTGGTCAACAGTGGAGCATATCGTCTCGAGAACATTGACGGACATCCTATACCCAGAACCTGGAATATAGGAAACCTGAAAAGATTCTATGCTTGAGGCTCCACAATCTTCCACGTCACTCGTCTCACAAAACTGTCTCTACATGCTTAGGAACTTTCTACTCCATAACGAGGTGCGTAAACGTCCCACCTAAGCTGGGGGGCTAGTAATCTTACTTACAACAACAATCCATAATCACATCTCATCATCTTCTTATAGATTGAGAACCAATTACGAGGGGATGCATATTACTCATCAATGGCCCAAAGAGCGAAGACACTCCATACCACATCGCCAAGGGTAACAATACTCCCACTAAAATATATCACACGCACGCTCTTGTATACTCTTACTAACGTGATAAAATCATTCCACTAACAGGCATGATCACACAGCAACTCACAACAATTCACGAGTTGGTTTCATATCTCGGAGTGCGAGGAAGAAAAACAATCCTCGTAATAGGGTACGTGAAATTGTAGTGCACATCACCCCAGCTTCAATTACCAAGTCCTCAGTACAAGTGTTTAAACAATTTTTTTTTTCTCAACTAAACTTTCCAGGCAGAGAGACGCCAAAAGAATTCAATCTACCATCAGCACAGCGAAACGAACGAGTACAAGGAAGACGTGGAAGAAGAACAAGTGTAGTACAATCATTTAGAATAATTTTTATTGAATCAATTTATTTGCTTTTGCAGTAGTTATTTACCTTCGCCTCACGTAGGCCTATGACATTCGCAATTTATTTCCCTTCGCCTCACATAGACTTGTAACAATTCTCATTTGCTATCATTGAATAAATCAAAATTTTTGCTTTACTCTCTGTGCCAGTACATCTATACCAATTACCTCTTATAATGAGTTCAATTCAGTACAACCCTACAAACACTTAGAGAGATTTAGATAATCCATATAGCCTGGCCAGCTGGATTGTCTAAGTCCCTTTATTTGTTTCACAAGGTGTTACTTTTAAAACGTGGCCACGGACAAAAATATTTAAGACCCAAGCGGTCCGAACAAAGGGCATGACCCTTAACAAAAACCTTGGGAGACTGATCTCCTCCTCAAGTACATCGCGTGCAACGCTAAATGTAAATACACATAAGCAACGCATTAAACTCTTGACAATGTCAAAATAAATACTTCAATATATAAAACTTCAAATGTCAAATAATGAAGAAATTCAAACGAAATAGTAGAGGACATACCCATCTACATCAGCGATAAAAATAAATTACGAAATCCATAGCAAAGAATAAATAAAGAAGAATTTAACTATCCTAGCAAATCAGTGTAAACTCCCCCACCACGGGCTGAAGACGCCCCCACAACGGGGTCATCAGCAAGCATGTCATCCACGAGCTCTGTGCCCGTCTCGTTGACATCTGCCTCATCCTCCTCTTCATCAGATATGCCAGCTTCCATCCCACGAATGACCCTCTCACTGATACCACCCGCCTAGCGAAGGTATTTGCGACATGCACGAACTAACGACTTATAGACCACAACCAAAGCATGTTCCTCAATCATAGCAGCACATTCAGCACTACCTCGGAAACCAAGCTTGGTTTCCTCCACGAGGGACTCCTTATAAGTAGCACCACCTGAAGTCGCGAGGAACCTCTTCCCCGTTGCTTTCTCAACTTCTACTTCTCTTTGAGCTGGTCATAGCACTCGTTCAACTTCTGAACATCATCCTTATACGCCTTCGCCTCACCTCGGATAACCTCGAGCTCCTCTGTCATCTGAGCAAGCTCATCTGTCCTCTGAGCAAGCTCTTCCGTCCGTTGAGCAAGATCGGACCGCGCTATCTCCAACTGGCTTCGAAGTTCGTCCTCACGCGCCTGACTTCGCGCCCGCTCCTCTTCCTTCCTAGCTTCCACGTTCCCATCTTGCTCCATGAGATATCTCCAAGTCGCTACCAACTAAAAAAAAATTTAATTAAATTAATATTTTACACAAGAAAGAGAGGAAATAAACATAAAATCTTGTTTTAAAATAGACAAGTACTCACCCGACATATGTCCCCACCAGCCAACTCCAACATGTGTGAAGGACCCTTACCAGACATCCGAGCACGGTCGTACTCCCGAACGAATCCCTCGGTACTCAACATCGGCAAATGATGGTCCGACACATCCCAATACGACTCATTCCCTTCACGATTCACGCCAAAGGTAAACAACTGTTTCCCTGCCCCACCATGGAAAGCATAAGTCTCCTCTGGGTCTACCCGTGGACGCTTTGGCACAACCACGTACTAAGTATCTACCCTCTTTCCATTGCCACGATCTCTCGTAAGTGTACGCTCATCCACTTCCATAGCTACGGTCATCTTCAATCACTCGAGGAGTCTCTACATGGACCTTCTCTCGACGCAAACCACCCGAAGAACCTCCTAACGTAGAAGGAACCTTTTTTGATGACTTCTTCGACGTCCCATTCGCCTTAGCTTGAAGTGCCGCAAAGGTGATGCACCCATCTACAAAAGAAAACACACACATAAGAAACATTAGATAAATACAACCAAAGAACAACAAAAAAAAAAAAAAAACCAAGTCAATGCAACAAAAGGATGTATGGTGCTGACCATCCGGTATCAAACACTTCGGATCAAATTCCACATCACACAGCCTAGACTCTTCAATCTTCTTCACCATGTTCGCAGTAATCTTGAAACTCTCACACGTAGGTTTCAAAACTGGGGGGACGTCGAAAGTGGGAGCCCTCACATAAAAGAAATGGGACTTCCATTTCCCCAAAGATAACTTCACACTCTTCAAAAATTGGTAAGGAACGCGAGGATGAACGCAGAAGAATGGCAGCTTAGTCGGCCGATGCAAGGTAAATAAAGCCTTAAACAAACTCACAGTAGCAGGCAGACCTACTCGAGTCACTCTATGGTGAAATGCCTCGAACATCAACACCGCAGTCGGGGTAAGCTGACTATACCCTATCTTAAATTCCTCGCAAATCTTCAACAAGGTCGGATGCGGAGTAATTTGAGATGTACATGTCACGTACGCCAAGAAAACCGTACGTGGCGAATACAAACGGTCGCCCTTCTGAGGCAACATCAACTCGATATTTCTTGGCGCCCCAACTAGTCGACAAATAGACTGCAAATGCTCTTCCGTCAATACACTATCGACGTCAATTAAGTCAAAATTTATTGGAATATCATCTTCCTCATCCACTTCGACCATCGGATCAACTTCACTACTCGGCACCGCATGCCCACTCGCCGAATGTGAGTGATGTGACTCATCGCTATCACTCCCAAAATCCACAACTTGACGCCTATAACGACGTCTACTAGAACCCCCTTCGTCAACATATAGCGAATATTAGTATTAGACTCCAAATCATCACTCCCAGAATCAATGATTTCTCGCCATCCAAAACTCCTCCGACTCACATCATCTTCGATGTCAACTGCCAACTCCGATCCCCCGACACGCCCGCGCGAATCGCGCCGAAAAAGGGCCCCGGACGCGCTCTCACGCGCGCGCGTCGCGTCCGGTGACGCCCTCCCACGCGCGCAACCCCTGCCATTAACCGTGCGTCCACGCGCATCCTCTTCTCCATGCGACGCGCGCGCACGCGCGCCCTTATTGGGCAGCGCGCGCGCGTCACCAAATCCCCCCCCCCCCATAGACACACCCGCACGCGCGCCCTTATTGGGCAGCGCGCGCGCGTCACCCATCAACCCTAACCCCACCCGTGCACGAGCGTCCACGCACGCACCACTCGAACGCGCGCGTGGCGCCAAGCTCGACGCGCCCTGCACACGGGGCCCCTTCCCATGTTTCTCTCTCCTAACCTCGGCCACTGCGCAAGCCTCCGAATCCGCGGCTCGGCTCGGCTCCAGAAAAACCTCGGGCCGCGCGCTCGCACACACATTACCATGGCCAGCGGCGCAGCTCAAGCCCACGGCTGCAGCCACCCTGCCAATTATTCCCCTCTCCACCTCGCTACGTTCCATAGCCGATGACGTTTTGATTTCCGCACCCGATACTACTATCTTCTCGCGTTCCATACCCACGATACCAAAAGGTTTCTCGCCCCTTCAACCGGATCTCGAAGTTTAATTCGAAAAGATTTCGACTTACCCGAGTTCGACATGATAAATAATTTTCCCCGGAGAAATAATCAACACTGGAAAAATTCCTACTCTACCACAATATAATAAAAGAAGAAGAGCACAAAGAAGATCAAAAAGTTACAGATACTCACCCATATTTATTCTTCACAAGGATTGGAATTTATTCTCCTCACCGCAAAAGGATTCTGTTTATTTGGCCCTGGTATATTATTTAACACCCTTAAATATATATATCTTGTTGCCAAATAAATACAAATAAAAAAAAAACGAGGCTCAAAAGCCAATTACATACAAATCCGATCCGGTCAATAACGACACTTTAAACTCTCGACACGATCCGGAACCCTCTCGACAAGTCTCCCATCTCGACTCAAGATTTGGGGGGCTTAATGATATAACTAATTGGGCCGACCCAATGGGCCCCCTAATTCGCCTAATAATTAGGCCCACTACACAAGAGCCCAAACACCTTCAAAATAAGGCTTGGGCCCAACAAAGGAAGCCCAACCCACTCAACGACATATAAATAGATGTTTTACTCATTTGTTAAGGTACGTTTTTATTATTAACTAACAATCTAGAGTGTTTATTCTCTCTACTATCTATACAATCCATACATCTGACTTGAGCGTCGGAGGAGTTTCCGCCGGATCAACCCCCGGCTTAGTTCACGTGTGCTTATTTCGCAGGGACCTCAGGATCATCAAGTTGTCAAGCTACTGATACGCTTTGCTCTCCCAACTCGTTTTCTATACTACCCTAGGTGATCTAAGTAATTAGCATCATCAGCGCCCTAGCCAAAAATCAAATTATGATCATAATTTGCTACACCCTCTGGGAAATTCTGATCAAAAATCGAAATCTGTATTTCTATGGATTTTTTTCCACCTCTTTGATTAGTTTGACTGGTTTTTTTATTTTTTATTTTTTTTATCAAGCATCTTTGTGGTTGCGTTATTGGTTTTAGAAACTTATTGATTTAATTAAGTGTAATGAAAAAGTCAGAAATATTGAATATGATCTTTAAGAGAAGAGGGAGAAAAGATATGGTATTAATTTAATTATCTCAGTCGGTTTTTTGGTGTAAAATTTAGTTGCAGCGAAAAAAAAAAGTCGATGACGTTGAAGATGTTGGGCAAACAACAAGTCAATTGGAGAAAATCTGCTATGTAGTCTTATACAGTTATATGTATAACATATACAGACTATACATATGTTGTCATGTACAGTCATATGTAGTCATGTATGTTTTAGTTGAAGAATTTACACATGTGATTTTTTGGATATATATTGTAGGAATAAAAGTTGCCTAGTAATACCAAGTTCAAATTATGATTTTCTTTTTTGAGAATGTTAATTTGAGTTTTTTCATAAATAATAGTCTTTTATTTATATAATTTGTTAAATAAGACTGAGCTATATTATATAATTGAAAATATACAATTTTAGGTTGAAAATGTAACAAGACGCTAATATGAAGCAAGAATATTATTATAGTCATATATAATTATATATAGTCATATTCGAAATAGTAAAATTTTCAGGGAAAAAATTTCAAGAAAAAAAAAAGAAATAAAAAAAGTTATAGTTAATTGTTTAAAATAAATAAAACATTATTAAAAAATAAAAAAAAAAACAAAAAAAAACGAAAATACTTAATGTAGTTGGTGGAAATGTTGAATGCAGTTAGTTAGGGCATAAATTGCATGTAAGGGCGACAAAGTCTTTTTGCCTCTCTAGGGGTATTTCAAAGAAAGAATTTTAGAGGTGGACATATTCCTATATATTTTCCATATTAGGGGTGTATATCAAATGACATTTAAAAAATAATAGGGTTAATAGCACTAGCCCCCCTGTGGTTTTCACGTTGTGCACTTTACCCTCCTCTGATATCAATTTGGTCATTTTACCCCCTTGTGATTGACAAGTTATAGCGACCGTCTAATAAATCGTTAAAGTTAACAAAAAAAAGGTTAAATGTCTGGACCACCCCTTATTTTTTTTACTATTTGCAGGTTATATTTTTTTTTATAAATAAATGTAAATTCAATTGGATTTAGTTAGAAATAACATCAATTCATACTAAAATACAATTATCAAAATTACTTTTTCTCCTCGCCTTCAAATCCTCCTGAAATGTTTCGGACCCTTCCAAAATATCCGTCTGAGACACACGGGTTGACGAAGGAACATCCTCGGAGAACAACAACAATGGTGGCTATCATTCCCCACCGTTCTGGCTCTTCTACCGCTGTCTCTTCGCCCATCCCCCTTCTGTTATCTCCACCGCCGACCTTGATTTAAGCTACTTTTTGTTTCTTAAATATTTGCTTTTGCACGAGTTTTGTGCCCATTCAGCTTCCCTTTTCGTAAGCAAAATGGAGAAATAAAAGCAAATTTTCAGGGCAAATTAAAGTTGTTTCTTTTTTAGAATGAAAAATATAAAATTCATTTCTTAAGCAAAAACATGAAGGAAATAAAATTATTTTTCAGTAGTAGTATATTATTTTCAGCATAAATAGAAGTATTTCATATTCCCTTCTAATGTTGCAATTTATAAATATATATATATATATATATATATATATATATATATATATATATAGACACACACACGTTCAAATTTTTTGTTTAAACGTAAAGGCTAAAAGTACAAGTAACTTAATAAAGATTTATTGAAAAATATAAAATAATTATAAAAAAATTTAGATGAGTATTTTAAAAATAATTAATATAACATCTTAAAAATAATTAATATAGAATTTAAAGACGAATCTGTAATGCTTTTCTAATTAAAAGAAAAGTAAGGATGGGTGTATGAGTTTTTATTAAAGGAATATTACTATAGTCAAATATAAAAGTAAGGAATCTGTAACTTTAACCGTTTATCATACGGTCGCTACAACTTGTCAACCACAAGAGGGTAAAATGACAAAATTGATATCAGAAGAGAGTAAAGTGCAAAACATGAAAACCACAAGAAGGCTAAATGCTATTTACCCAAAACAATAATCATACAAATTGAAATAGGTGTAATTGGTTAGATATGACATTTTCAAATTAATGACTTGTAAAAGTAAGTCATGGTCAAGTCGATGGAGTTTATAATAGTCTATTTAGATTAATGAGTTTGATGCATCCTTGTAGATTGGGGCAGTGTGAGGACTTCCAAGTAAACACATTGACCTTGTGTGTTCAAATTATGACCCACTATTTGACTTACAAAATAAATAAATCTACATATAAGCTAGCATATGCAAAATATTCTGATCTGGTTGATTGGAGTTTTTATTTTTTTTCTATATATTTATTATATGTGTGTATGTTCAATGAATTCCAGCAGGAGTGTAGCGTTTTGCATTGCTATCATTATAGCAGCAGCGAAGTGTGCCGCGGCGAACGATGGAGAATCGGACGCTTTGGTTGCGAGTGGTTGGTGGTCAAACAAATATATTAATACTGGAAACATTACCTCTGATCAATATTGCACGTGGGACGGCATAACTTGTGACGATGCGGGCTATGTCGCAGAGATAAGCCGGCATGATATGTACTATCATCAACTTGGTGAGTTGGATCTACTTGCTTTTCGAAACATTGCGAGAATCGATCTCAGTGGAATGTGGCTCACTGGAGGCATCCCACCCGAAATAGGTGCTCTTTCCAAACTAACTTATCTCAATTTTTCGCGCAATGATCTCACAGGCAATGTGCCTTTTTCCCTCTCAAATCTCACCAACTTACAGTACCTCGACATTTCATATAACTTCTTTGGTGGTGCCATTCCATCCGGAATAGAAAATCTTACGAGCTTGGTTGCTCTTGATTTGAGCAACAACTATTGGATTAATGGCTCTTTGCCTTCCACCTTGGGCCGATTGACAAGATTGGAATCTTTGAAATTGAATGATAATCAGCTGAAAGGTTTCTTTGAAGCAGGGATTTCAAAACTTCCTTCAATCAAAACGATCGACTTAAGTGGCAACCTAATTTCCGAACAGATACCATTTGACCTTGGATATTATGCTAATGCACATTCACTGAGCATCGATCTTTCCCACAACAACCTCTATGGTACAGTCCCTAAATCTCTTTCCAATTTGAGAAACATCAACTTATCCTACAATGATTTAGAGGGTCGAGTTCCATTTGGGGTTTGGTATGCATTGCCAGAAGGCTCATTTCTTGGCAACGACCGATTACTTCCCCCTAGAGACTCCACAACACGTGCATTAGATACGAGAGTAATACTCCCACTTGCTCTTTTCTTTGGCTGCCTTTATTCCGCTATGTTCATCGTATTCATCTATTACTACTTCAAGGGAAAGAAGACAACCCCAGTGAAGCCCGATCTCAAACACGGAGACATTTTCAAAATATGGAATTACGACGGTAAGATCGCATACAAAGACATCATCGAAGCAACACAAGATTTCGACTTCACTCACTGCATCGGAAGTGGAGGCTACGGCAGTGTCTACAGAGCACAACTGCCAACGGGAAAAGTGGTTGCGGTAAAAAAGCTCCACAGATTCGAAGGAGAGAATCCAATTTTCGACGCGTGTTTTAAGAATGAGGCCAAAGTTCTGTCCGAAATACGACACTGGAACATAGTGAAGCTTTTCGGGTTTTGCCTACACAAGCGCTGCATGTTTCTCATCTATGAGTACATGGAAATGGGCAGCCTATTTTATGTCTTGAGGGACTCAAACGAAGCTGTAGAGCTAAATTGGGCAAAGAGAGTAAATATCGTGGAGGGAATTGCACGCGCTCTTTCTTACATGCATCATGATTGCAGCCCACCAATTTTGCATAGGGACATCTCCACAAGCAACGTACTTCTCAGTTCGAAGCTCGAAGCTTTTGTGTCTGATTTCGGCACCGCTAGGTTGTTGGATCCCGATTCTTCCAATCATACTCTAATTGCCGGCACTCACGGCTACATTGCACCTGGTCTACAAATATATATACATAAGAAAATTAATTTATTTATTTCTATTAGGAATTTAAAAAATTTAATCTCTTGATTTTTTTTTTCATTTTGGTAGAATTGGCATATACCATGGCTGTTACGGAAAAATGCGATGTCTACAGCTTCGGAGTGGTGGCGTTGGAAACCATGTTTGGAAGTCATCCGGGGGAATTTCTTACATCCGTGTTCGTGTCCGAAAGAAATTCCGAAAACTTAATGCTCCAAGACTTGTTGGATAAGAGGCTACCGTCTCCAGATGATGAAGATCTAAAGGCGGCAAGGGATGTAGTTCGTGTAGTGAGAATAGCACTAACATGTGTGAGTTCAGACCCAAAGTCTCGACCGTCGATGAGTCGAGTTTGTGACGAACTTGATGTTCGCGGGCCACCACTTCCAATGCCTTTACGCAGCATATCTATCTCGCACCTCATGCATATGTAATGAGTTATTAAGTTTTATGGAGTTATTTATGTTCCTAAGAAGTTGTGTTTATTAGTGAACTTGATTAGTTCTTGTTATTGTGCAGTTGTTTCTTCACATATTCAAATTTCAAACACATTTATAAATAACACGTTGGCGCTATTAGTATATGTTGCACTCTTGAATTTTGTTGGAATGTTATTTTAAAAAAAATAAAAAAAATTGTGGAAATTGGAACTGAATTTCCGATGTCCACAAATTAGGATCCGAAAAATTCTGATTTCGAAACGAATTTTTCATGTCCGATTTTCGAAATTTCGATTTCTGAATTTTCCGAAATGCATCTGACCGAAATCGGAAATTTATATAAAATCTTAAAAATGGTCCCAATTCCAAACCAAAATAATTCCGAAATTTCCGAATATTATTAATGTTTATTAATTATTATGTACTAATAAACCCAGAGAAACCCTTATTTCCGTTTTCTTCTTCTCTGGGCCATAAAATTGCCTGAAGCTACAGATATAAACCCACACTTCACGGCCGGCTGCACAACCGCCGTCTCCGCCGCCCGTCGGAATATTCAGGTATGATCGGTTATCACCATTTCATTGGACTGCACTCGTTGATTTCGATTCAAATAATCATATGGTAAAAAAATCCATAATTATTTCGATAACAGTTTAAATTGAATACATTTTTATCTGTTTTAAAGTTAACTTGTCCGAAATGGTATTTTTTTCTTTTCTTAATTTCAATCAGACATAAACCCTAAATCAATCTGGCATTTGAAGAAGCAGAGTTCATACCTTGTGGATGAATTGATAATAAAAAAATCCGGCAGTTTCGATAATTCCGAAATCAAGTTTAACACATTCAGAAACTAATGGAGAATGATTCTGCTTCAAATCCAAGATCTGGTGGTGGCGGATCAACTTCCTCCGTCCAGGGCGGCGGCATGACCGGT